TTCCGTGTAGCATTGTTTCCCCATAGCGACGGTTAATCCGGAACGGATTAACCTTGCTATGCGGGGCACCACTGTATATAGCATGACTACTGTCATGCCATAACAAACTCCCTGAAGTTTGAAACCTGGAAAAATTCATTTTTTAGTCTACATCTCCTATTTTGATTTTGCTGGTAGAATCCTGTTTGCTGTGCTTCCACAAAAATATATAGCATGACTACTGTTGTGCCATAACAAACTCCCTGAAGTTTGAAGCCTGAAAAAATTCATTTTTTAGTCTACATCTCCTAGAATCTTCCACTCAGCAGAGAGATCCAGGCAGTCACAATCCAAAGGTAAATTTTCCAAGTTCTGTAGAAATTTTCACAGACCAGTATTCTACAATCATGCCACCAAGTTGCACGTTTCTTCAGTCACACTATGTCAGAGCCAGTCCAATTACAACCTGTTTCTATCCAGCACTTTTTGCCTCTTTTCCTTTTTACCTTGTACAAAAAGTGTGCACATACACACAATGACATTGAAAGTAATGATAAATGTGAAGAGTGTGTGTCTAGCAGAGACTGAGCACTTTTGTAAAGAGAGAAATGGAGGGGACCCCCTACTGGTTCTTTGGGAATCCAGTAAAGGAGAAGGAACAACTGAGAAGTGCAAGTAATGAAGAATGTGGGATGACAGTAATCAGTTGAGATGTGACTGAAGGACATGTTTCACACCGGAATGTTTGGAAGGGAGTTCAGGGGAGACAAAGTATTCATATACAATCCATAATTGCACACTTGCAGGGAGAGGTGCTGTTAAAGCCAACGTCATTTTACAAGTACGTTTGCATGGTTGCAGAATTCAATTAAAAGGAATTTAAAAAGGAAACAGGGGAAGAAATAACTGAGGTTGAGGGACTAAGGGTGAGGCATGATGCCCTTATGTGTAAGGATGCATGTAAATCTGAAGCAAAATAAAAATGCTACATAATTTTGTTGTGAATCCAGAAATCTCCAGAAATTCTAAGTCTGTACAGAGGTGCCCCGCTTGACAACGATAATCCGTTCCAGCAAAATCACTGTACAGCAAAATCGTTGTCAAGTGAAAAAAACCCCAATTGAAATGCACAGAAAACTGGTCAATGGGGGAAATACCTGCTTGTGCAGCGAAAATCCTCCATGCGGCGGCCATTTTGCGGTCCCTGTCTTGTGAAGAATCCGTCCTGAACACAGCAGGGAGCCATTTTGCGACCTGGCGACCAGCTGTTTTGAATCACCGTTAAGCAAAAATCGGTTCCCGAAGCAGGGAACCAATCGTCGTAAAGCAAAAAACCCCTTTGAATCATTGTTTTGCGATTGCTATAGTGATCGCAAAAAACTCATCGTACAGCAGATTCGTCTTCAAGCGGGGTAACCATCTAGCGGGGCACCACTATATTACATATGCATTGAAAAACCACTGGCTGCATCCTGGTTCTACAAGCACGTGAAAATTCCCTGACTCTGCAAGAAATGTAGTATATCAAAGTTCCCAAGAGTGCCACTCACATTTCCTTAAAGGAGAAATGCTCAGAATGGCTCTGCATTAAGAGTTCAATAATACAAACTAAAACCGTTGCTTACTTTTGTTTTAGCCTTTGCTTCTGTGTCTTCCTCCTTTCTTCCATCCACCGGGGTCTCAGATCCTGGCTCATCCGAGTGTTCCTTGTTATGGGTAGAATAATCTTCCAGGAGGGTGTCAAACAACACAATACGCTTATTCTTGAAGAAACCATAGAAATAGGCATTGCTATGGGAAGACCGTTTGGAACCTGGGGGCAGGCAGGCGCAGAAAGGTCACATTATAAAAACAAACATGTCTTTTAATCTCAAAGATCAATTTTAAACAATGTCAGCACACTAGTTATTCATTTTCTCACAGTAATCTTCAAGACCTAAAGACTTTGGATAGAATTTTCCCCCGAGATCCTCTCCCTCTATATCCTTTTCTGAATCAACCATGGTTTTGCTCACAATAAGCAATATAAAAACTAAAAAGTAAAAGTTTTTTTCCCTCTTGCAGCCTCCCATCCAGACTCTTTGATGAAGAGGCCAAATCTACTTCTAATAAATTGAAAGAGAAACTCCAGGATGCCAATCTTAACTGGTTACAAGAAGCATAGACACTGACCTTTGACAAGTGTGTATTACAGTACACAACTGCATTTTAAATCTATAACTCAGTACAAAGAGCATTGTCCCCCAAGAAATATTAACAGCCAAACGTCTCAAACATAAAATTGGCTAGTTGAAAGGTAAAGGTTCCCCTTGACAATTTTTGTCCAGTCGTGTTCGACTCTAGGGGGCGGTGCTCATCCCCGTTTCCAAGGCGTAGAGCCAGCGTTTTGTCCAAAGACAATCTTCTGTGGTCACATGGCCAGTGTGATTTAGACACGGAATGCTGTTACCTTTCCACTGAGGTGATCCCTATTTATCTACTTGCATTTGCATGCTTTCAAACTGCTAGGTTGGCGGGAGCTGGGACAAACGACGGGCGCTCACTCCGTTGCGTGGATTCGATCTTACGACTGCTGGTCTTCTGACCCTGCAGCACAGGCTTCTGCGGTTTAGCCCGCAGCGCCACTACGTCTCCGCCTTTATGAAAGCCTTTATGAAAAGGCAGTATGTCTGAAAACAGCATGGGAAACTGAACTAAATACTCTGACTTTCACTGGAACAAAGTTTGGATATCCTTATAGTTTCAAACTGTTCCCTACAAAGCAAAGCAGAAGCAGCAATCAAGTCCAGAATATGTATTTAATATCTTAGAACGGCCAAGCCTATGGATCATTGAGTCCAGCCCCTGTCATGGTGGCACAGTGGGGAATTAGAAGTCCCAACCTCTGGCTCCACAGTCAGAGATCTAAACCACTGAGCTATTTCTTTTAAGGGTGAAAAGACAACCCTCTCCCAAACTCTTCAAACATTTAAATACTGAAGGTTAGAGGCAGTAAGAGTGAGCAGAAGGAATAATGAATTGGGCATGGATGTGAAATAAGCCTAGGGAGAAAAAAAGTGGGAGAGAAGGGGCGGAAGCAAATCAAAAGAGAACAATCATTGGAATGAGGGTACAAAGGATTTCTAACCCTTGTGAAAACAGGTACTTTTAACAGGAACTGAATGAATTGTTCCTGGTCTCTCATTTGGGGATTCAGCAGGTTTCCATGGTCATTAACGAAGGCTATATCCAGAACAGCATAAAACCCAAATAAGACTTTGAGTTCTAACAGGGCCAAAGGAATTTAGTGACTCTCACCTTCCACAATGTAAACTTTGGTCAGAGGGAAATCTATGTTCTTCGCCATTGCTTCAATTTGCTGCTTCAGCTCCCCGTCAGGGAGAGGAATGAATTTATCAAACAATGGGGCGATGTAGTCTGCATAAATTATGACAAGAACCTACAGTGGAACACAAATGCAAACATTTTAGCTTCATATCCTTTGGAGCAGGGGTCCCCAACCCCCAGTCCGCAACCTGGCAATGGCCCATGGCCTAGGCAGGAGCAGGCCATGGATACAGATCTCATGCCCCTGCCCACCAGTGAGTGCCTCGCATATGCGTGCGAGTGCGCCACACCCTGCACAAGTGGGTCACGCCCACCCACAAACGTGCCATGCTCCCACACACACACAGACCCCCTCGCCCGCACGGACACCATTCCCCCCGACTGGTCTGTGGTTGGGAAAAGGTTGGGGACCACAGCCATTCAATTCATATATTTCTGACTGCGAATTTTGGGCTGAATTCTTTATAAGAGGGAAGGGTAAGATGTCCCTCCCCTTCTGCTGCCCATTGGTCACAATTAAAATATCACTGTCAAAATGAAAAGTACTGGTAGCACCAGCAAAATCACATCCCTGAAAGAGACATAATTCATCTGCTTTTTGCTGCACCCAGTGGCCACTGGGTGTTCCCTTATTTTCTAAGAATGCACATGTTTGTATGTTATAGCAAGAACATTCTTTAAAAAAGATTTTGCTACTTATGTACCAGGAAGGATGCCTGTTGTAAGATGGGTCCTTCCTATCTGGTCGGTTTTTTAAATGCATATATAAAATGCATATTTCAATCTGTTGTCTGATTAATGAGGGAGTTTTTTTAGTTGATGAAAGTGTCTTTTTCATTGAATAGTCTAATTAATTAAATACCAACCACTAGACCTAAAGTAGTCTTGTACATAACCTCATAAAAGTAGCCAACCTACAAAAATTACTCCTCTCCTAGGAGTTGACATTTCTATACTGGGTGCAGAGAAAGTCAGTTTCTCTCCCCCGCATCCCACCAGGTGTCTGAGCTGAGGGGCAGAATGGAAACGGAATACTCCATCCCTCGTTGGTCAGCTTGTCTAGCTACCTGCATGAAATGCATAGCCATTTCTGGTGATCAGATGAATGCTTAAATGCAAGTCTGACTTTACAAGAGCTCAAGTCTGATCAGATGGTATCTGCAGTGCTGGTATCACTGCTGTCAATGCAACTCAAAACAATTACTTCATAGGGCTCTTGGCCCTCTAGGTGTTTTGGGCTATAGCTGTCATAATTGTATATTATCAGGCATGCTGACTGAGGCTTCTGGGAGCTGACATCCAAAACATCTGAAAACATCCATGCTTCTCATTCACAATTTTATTAAATCAGCCTGGTCACTTGAACAAGCCAATTTCAGCAGAGAAACTATCTTAACAGCTAAGTCTATTCCCAGCTCCACTACATTTTACACTCTGGATCATGCAAGATTTGATAGACAGACATCATATACTCACCAAAGAAACCACTAACGTGAAAAGCCATGCATAAATAAAGAAATAGTCGCCGCCAATTTTAATGATGTAAAGTAAAAGTGATGTTACTGGCAGAAGGATGCACTGAGTCACAATGAACTTCTTGACTGCATCTTTTAAAAAGAATCCCAGTGTCTGTAAAAAGGAACAACATTAAATCAAGATGCTTTGAAGCTAACCCAGTCTGATAGATCAGATGTAACTAATGGTGGGTTCTGTCCTTCCTGATTGGCTGCTCCTGCAAGCAGACATGGCAGCCTGCATTATGGTTTGTTTAGCTGGCATGCCTGGTGTCTTGCTCTCCTAGCAGCAACATGCTCTGTAGATGTGTTTGAGACGTGTGTGGCCCATCTGTATTCCCAGATGTTGCAGTGCAACTCCCATGACCCCCCCAAGCAATACTGAGGGCATGTGGACAATGTAATCCAACAATCCCTGGACAGCCACATATTCTCCACTGCTACCCAGAGCTCTGATGAGCTAAATATCACAGGACAGCCAAACCAATTGTGAAGGAGAGAGAGCCAGTGTGCCGTCCTCCATGGAGCAGAGTACAGAGGAAGGACATGGATGTGTGGAGGGCATACTGGTAGATATAGAACAGGAGAAAGTAGAAGAGAGAGAGTCATTGGAAGTGTGCCTGGCTGACGAAAAGGGGGAGGAGCTGGATTTTGATTGTGCGGGAGGGGGATATAAAAGAGGGAAAAGGCGCACAAAGTTTTAGAATTGTAACGGGCGTGATACCTGATAAAAAAGACCAGGCGGTGCAAACGGAATGGAGTGCTGGGCAGGAAGAATTTGCCACACTTCTTAAGGAATTTCCTAACCTCCAAGCTGGAGGAGGATTACTACCGGATCCCAGGGACTTGTGCGCGAGAGGAGAAGACTTGGAGCCTTTGGAATGGACGGTAGTAGTGTATCCGCGCAACCAGCGTGGGGGGAGGAGAGTGATCCATCCCAGTCCCTCTTTACTCCAGCCTCAACGAGAGGGGGATTGGGCGAGACACCCCTGCTATGGGACCGTGTGCACCGTGAGGAGCACTCCGTTGAGGCCCATGACTGACAGGGAGCGATTTGGTCCAGCCCCTCAATGAGAAGTGACATTCAGACACCTGACGTTAACGTGCGGAGCTATCGTCTTTTGCCTGAACTTAGTTTAATGGACCCGTTTGAGCCAATGGAGTTAAGTTCATTCAGTAATAAATCAAGTTGTGTTAAAAATAAAGACCAGCCTCCGACTCTCCTTCCCGCGGCAACACAGGGGTCGCACACGACTAACAACGAACCTAATCATACCAATGCAACATTAGGAGTCAAATAAGGAAGTTTCATCTCACTTGCTGTATAGAAAGTATATATGAGAGGTGAGGATGAGCAAATGAGTTTAGACATGTCATGGGGAAATATCCTAAAGAAAACTGAAAAGGAGAATTTTGGGTGGCTCTTTCAGCCTGGGAGAAAAGTGGTAAGGAAAAAAAAAATCTATGGGTCACTTTCTTTAAAGCAAAAATAAAACATTGGTAATGCATTAATTATGTCATAATATAACATGGAAAACCTTTTTTTAGAGGTAGGCTATTTATAGGAAACAGACAGAAGCACAAAAAAGAAAGAAAGAATAATCTGAACGTGGACAAGAACCATACAGTACCTGCTGATTAAAACCATGTTTCTCTTCAATAACAAATGTATTATAGAGGCTCCAAGGAAAACCCGTAACAGCACTGAATAGCGTAGCAAGCAGCAAGAAGACCAGGGATTGAACAATCTATAGAATGAGTGGAGGAAAAAAAAACACATACAAGTAGAAACTATTCTATTTATGCATAAAGAGTTGCGTCTGAACCCTTAGAAAAGTAACTTTTCCATGTACTGTGCAGCAGACCCACTGGTTTCATTTAGTGTATATTTTACATTGGGACAGGCAGACTATTAGCTTGCAGGATTGTTTTTCTTTTTTAACTAAAACCCTGAGCTCCATCAGTTGGTGCCTGATGCAACTTCAACCCTATTCAGGCATTCAATAAAACAACTAACCCTTGAGAATAGGGATTAGGCTGGCCCTGCCCCCCTCTATCTGCACTCTTGCATACACAGAGGTAAATCATTCCATCTGTCTTTACCCATGGGAACCCTCCACATGACTGGACGCCATCATATTAATGTTGTGACACTCCACATATAGGGAATCATCCCTTTCAGATTTAGCTCTTTATATGTGAGAGCTAATATGAAGGGGAGAGATGCTAGTCTGCATCCTCTGCTCACAACCTTCTGAACACATGAAAAGGACTTTACTGCAAGGAGGTGAACATGCTCTTAGAAGGAAGGGACACAGATACCTCTAAGCACATGTTCAGCCCAGGAATTTGTTTCAGTACCAAAAATGAGCTCACATTCCTGTCACTTAAAAGACCAGTTCTTGGTTTTCCTCCCAAGGTTTCTTTCATCTCACCAGCCTAATTGAGAAAGGAAAGGTGAAACCTTTGGGTTAACCAACCCACTCCCCTACTGTCAAATTTGGATCTGGCTTGTACATCTTTTGCAGCTTTGGGCAAACACAAATGCCCTTATGCAGAAACAGAGTCCAAAGTAGATTCATGTGGTAAGATCTAGACAGAGGAAGCCTCCTGGGAGTAAACATCTTTGACGACAATCGGGAAGCTAAATCCAAATATGTGTTTTAGATGCTGCAACTTTCTGTTGAGGTGGCAGCATAAGAATCACTAAGAATCTGTTTTTCAGTCAGTGCAGCCAATAGAAAGAGATTAATTCCTCCCCTTCATTGAAAAGGGAGAGTCGGGTAAATTACACTTCTCTTTCTTATCTGAGAAGACAGAAGCACCATGACTGCAGGGCAGAAGGAAGAAAGCCAGGAAGGGAATTCCCAAGATCTCTTGTTAGAGGAAAGAAAGATTCCACTCCAGCTATCTTCTAGGGTGGGGCTTCCTCAAAGACATCTATGGACTAAAGGGACCCTTCCTCTGTTATTGGTACAGTCAATCCTCGACTTATGAACTTAATCCATTCCAGAAGGACATTCATAAGTCAAAAAGTTTGTAAGTCGAATCAGCATTTCCCATAGGAATGCAATGAAAACCAATTAACCTGTTCCGGCTGTTTTTGGTTCTTAGGCCAAGGGGCGGTTTGTAAGTTGAAGCATTAGTTCCCATAGGAACTAATGCAAAGCCGGTTAATCCGTTCCTATCACTAGGGGAAAATTCTTTTTCTTCTTTTTCCCTTTCAACCTAAGATGACTTAGGTTTAAAAAAAAGGAAAAAAGAGTTCGTAACGCGAAGCAAATTTCGCAAGTCAAGGCAATATTTTCCTATCAGAGCAGTTTGTAAGTCGAAATGTTCGTAACTAGAGTCGTTCGTAAGTCAAGGGTTGACTGTATAAGGAGAAAATATTCTTTAAAGAGATTTAGACACTGACCTCAATGTTTTCACTATTTTTTAAAAACTAGAATCTTTACAGATGGTCCAGCAGCAAAAAAGGGGGGAAATCTGCCCATCCAGAGTCAGGTTTCATGGCAGGGCAATCTATCAACTGCTATTGGTCATGTTATCTAGATTGAACTCCCTGGCTAAGACTCAATGTATCTCTGAATACCAGTTGCTGATACGCAGGACTGGAAGAGGGGTACTTTACTTTTCCTGCACTGTCTGTGGGCCTCTTTAAGGGATCTGGATAACCATCCTAGCAGACAGGATGCTGCCCTAAATAGATCTTTCTTATGATCAATATTAACCAAGGCTGATAAAAATGACTATTCTGGACTAGAGCCCCAGAACCTCCCAGCCAGCATGGGCACAGGAGGATTTTTAGAGAGGTACTCTGAAATAATTACTTCTCTAAACTAGGGTGAAAATATCAGAGGAATTCCTCTGGATGCGACCAAAGGCAGCAGCAGGATTACCTGCCATTTAATAAACAATGGGAAATTAACATACTTAGATAATGCAAGTAAACCAATGGACTTACTTCATATTCAGGTCCAAAACCAGCCCAATTAGAAATCTTTCCAGATACTGACCAAAGAAAAGGAATTCCTCCACACAGAAGTATCACCTATAAAACAAAACAAAACAAAAAATAGCTTTATGGGACAGAATAGCACATGACTGAGAGCTTTTGAAAAAAGAGAGCAGGATCAAGACTTGTCTATTTTCCATCTTGCCTCTGGAATTTTTCACAAAGAGATTTTCATTGTAGAAACCCAACTTGAGAGATCTGCCTAAAATATGAACAGAAAAAGGCGAAAGATTTATACGATCTGAAGAGAAACCAGAGATATATACAGTGGTGCCCTGCTTGATGACGATAATCCGTTCCAGGAAAATCGCTGTTAAGCGAAATCGTCATCAAGCGGGGGGGGGGAACCCCATTGGAATGCACTGAAAACCGGTCAGTGCATTCCAATGGGGAAATATCTCATCGTCCAGCAAAGATTGCCCATAGAGAACTGCCAATCAGCTGTTTAAAAACGCTGTCTTCCGAAGCAGGGGTCCGGAAAGCAGCCAACAAATGGTTTGTGAAGCAGGCTCCTAATCGGTGCCAAACGAAAAAACCCCATTGGAACCATTGTTTTGCGATCACAATAGCGATTGCAAAAAAACTCATCGTAAAGCGATTTCGACGTCATGCAGGGTAAGCGTCAAGCGGGGCACCACTGTACTCTGGTTTCTCGACCAAGGGTTGTGACAGCAACCGTTAAACTATTTATGGCAAAATCCTTGGTACAACTGACCTACGGTGCTCATTTTAGTACTGTAGCAAGCAGATCCACGATGGAAAAACTTCAAACTAAATTTTTAAAAGCCATACTATTGCTGCCAACCAATGTATCAAATGCAATGGTTCATCTGGAAACAGAACTAGTAATTATAGAGGCTAGACTTTAAATAATTGTCCTGTCATATTGGTTAAACTTGAACCACACTAACTCTGGGCTCGCCCATTTGATATTAAAGGACAACTCTGTCTCCCCGTGGATGGGACTGTTGGAGAACAAATTGGGGTACTAGGGAGTCTCACATCAGTATCTAATGTCTATGAGTTACGACCAACCAAAAGTCTGATCAAACAAAGGATCTTAGACATAGAAAGGCAGCATGATCTGAATAGAGTTAAAGCACATATAAGGGATATCATTGGTATCAATAGAAACACATCAATGCCTTACATAAGCAAACTTGAAAATTCTGAAAGTAGAAGGGCATTTATGATAATAAAACATGTTGCCTTCTGCCGTCTTGGAGAACAGATATAAGAAAATTCCATATTTGAATCGGCTATGTGTATGTGGTGAAGGCAGTATAGAGACCTTGGAGCGTGTACTCTTGGCCTGCAAAATTTACAAACAGATCCAGGAAAGCTAAATCAATCCAATTATTTTGGACAGGGATGAAGGTGACAGGAAGGGCTGTCTCCAGACCTTGCTAGAAGATAGAAGTAAGGCAACAACTTACAATGTGGCCAAATTTGGCCGGTTAGCCATCAAGCTAAGGCAAGTTTGGATTAATCAAATGGATAAAGACCCCACTGAGTAGTGTATGGTGACTAAGGCCATTTGAGCTAGCAAAAGCCCCTCAAGTCACTAAAGGATGACAGTATAGAGTTCTTCTCTATTTTATAAGAGTTTTTTACATATATACTGTATATTTTAAATTCTCGCTGTTTTGGAACTTGTTATATATGGTTATGAAGATGCTGTTTTGTTGACTTGTCATTGGTTTTGGGATTGACTCAATGTTTCAATGGCCTTTGGCTAAAATTTCAATAAACATTTACTCTGGTTTCTCTTCAGATCGTATAAATCTTTCACCTTTTAAAATACGTTTTAAAAGAAAAAAGTGGCAAGGAACACATTTTAGCAAGAAAAACTTTTGGCAATCAATATTTTCCTGTTTTAAAATATTACAAATTACTTTATCACAGAAACCTGTACCAAATAAAGATAAATGTCCATGTGTTACAGAGTCAAAATTATAGTGCCATTGACATCTCAATTTAAATATTTTATTAGTTAAAAAATTATAATGGGATGGATTCACAGATGGAACATGTTTAACTTGCCCCACTAGATGTCAATAATTCTACCAACACTGAGATCTTAGCCCTTCAAGAAACATGACTCACAAATCTTTTCCAAGCTCTGATTCTGGTACACTGAAAGAATAGGGAATTCATATCATCTGTCACAGGAGGAGACCCAAACATTTTCTACTACTCATCTTTAAAAAATTTATTACAAATTTATTAAAAACAATACTATTTTACATAAAGAGACTTGTTGAAAACACACAGAATCTAAGAGGAAAAGTGATACTTACTGTACCCTCTATCTCCGAGTACAGCCCTGACCAAAAGCTGAAAGCACTTTTATCCAGTTGGTAAAGGCGAGCTTTTTCAAATGTTTCTGAATCCATGATTGGTCCTAATTCCAGCGGGACATGAGTGGTTGTCCTGTACACAGTCCTCTGTAATATTTTAAATGCAGTAGTAAATACAAATTGCACCCTCCAAGAAGAGAGATGTTTATTTTATGCCACCGGAAATCCCTCAGTCCTATATCAAAGGATATAGAGTACTCAGAGTCTGTGAGTTGATAACCAAACCTATTTATATATGCTACTCTGATAAGTAAAGGATAAAGCCTACAAAACTGAAAGTGACCTCTGCTCAAGTGCTGGCCATGATAATAAGACAGACTTTGAGTCCAAATTCGGAAGGTTCTCTGTGTTTGACCTCTTCGTTAAAAGTTTGACCCCCCACCAGAAGTCAAATGTTTGATCACCTTGCCTTCTATGAGCTACACAGACCCACAACACACACAGGAGAAGGGATTGGTAAATCACTTTTGAGTACTTGATCCTTTAAAATGTTGGAAAAAAAATACTGGAAAATTGGAATCAACTTGACAGCATGTGATTTAAATGAGGGTATCCTTTTCTGACTTACTTTCTTTGGGCAATGAGCCTGCAGACATCAACCAAGTTGCAGCTATTAAGTCATCTGCTACTATTGATTAATATTTTACAATTATGACCTTTTCCAATAATTTCTCCCTAATTCTTCTAATCGTTCACAAGGGTATTTAATTAATAGTCTGAGGTGATCAATCAAAGGTTATAGCCCTGTTAAGAAGATATGAACATGATTTGTTTCACAGAAAAATCAACTAAAGTTGGCTAGAAAGTATAACTTGTCTACTACTGCTATTGCTTATACACATTTATAGCCTGATTTTCTATTCAAAACTCTCAGGGCAGAGAATATTGGTTGTAGTCATTCAACCCATCATTAAAATTGTCAACACTATGTAATAACAATAATTTAAAACAACATTATTCAGAGAAAGATGACAAAAATGCAGGAAGCCTATAAATACATGTTTTTATTTCTGTTCTCAGAGCTCTAAGCATTTCTACTTCCAGGTATTTCAGCTACCTAAGTATGGATGGTTTGGATCCAGACTCTGTCAGATTTAAAACAGACCTATTAAAATTAATAGGTTTCAATTACCATCCTCTAAGAAAGATCAATTCTGGATCTATCCTAACATGCCTAAAGAGCATTTGAACAAAACAAATTCACTTTACACACTGTCTTCTCAAGCACATGCTTAAAATATTTATAAAGTATACATGTTAAAACATAACACATAAAAGCAACAACCTTAAATATGGAAAAATGGCTACCACATAGGCATGCTTTTTAGGGACTTTGTACTGCTGTAGATTCTTTGTGAACGGACACTTGAAATAGTCTAATTACTGCTGCTGAGTTACATGCAAAATACCTCCTATAAAAAACATTACACTCTCAATTTGCTCAGTACAAACTCAACTGAATTTTGTGTTACAGATCATTAGGAAAAGGATAAAAAACAAAATCACCAAAATTCTTAACACTTTCATATAGATCTACAGTGCAAGCATATCTAGAACAGTTACATTTCTAGTCACCACATATCTTTTAAAAGGACATGGTAGAGCTGGAAAAGATTTAAAAGGAGCAAGGATAATTAGCAAAGAGCACAGATTGTTTGCATTTTCTAAACAGAGGCTCAAAGTTTATTATTTATGGCCTCTCCTGCTTCTAGCAAACATAAATGAATTCCAGGTGAATCACAGGAACCCTCCTTTGAATACTTGCAAGATTTTCTGGACCACATTCTAGGACAGGAGGCAAGCTACAAGGCCTCAATATCAAGCTTTTGTAATGGCACACCTGGAGAAGAGATCTGTTATCTCAAAAACTTGCAGAGAGAATTTTCTACTTTTTAAAATTAGTCTAAAATAGGACCTACCACTAGGATTTTGGAATTTGTCTTACAGTGACCTGTGGCTATCCCTACATTCAGGAAAGGTTAGAATGCATAGCAAGGATATGGATTTTCCCTCCTTTTGTAACACTGGAGGTTGTGTGATCATTGAATGCAACTGAACAGTGAAAGATTTGAGACAAAAGGGATCACAAAATAAGATAAGCTTTAAAAGAGCAGCAGAGAAACATAGCTACACATCATGATAGCTATTACCTCCAAGGCTGAAGTCACTATCAGTACGCATACTAACTGCTGGTGCATAACTATGTTTGCTTTGGGGCTTCATTTAAACCAGGTATTTCCAAACTGCTGTCAGTGGAAAGTGTCAGATGAGACACAAACGTTCCTTCTTGGCCCTGCATTTAATTTTTTCTGATGATGGCAACTGGAGCCACTTTAATGAGGCCAGATTACAGAAAAGAATAAAAAGGCCCTGGCATGATTTTTAAATCAGACCACATCAGCCTATTATTAATTTTTCTTTAAAAATTACCAGACATGTCCCTCTCCCAACAGCCTGGTGCAGGGTCCATGAGTTTCCTAACACAACACTGGCTTTGACAATGGTCCTTGTACTGAGCATAAGAAGTCAATTAAGTTGTTCAGCCATAGCTCAGTAGGATGCTGTACAGGACAGGTCTTTTGCCTTATATTGGAAACTTCGGCTTAAGATTTTTAATTCTCTTTTTACAAAACCTTAAACATGATTTGTGGGACAAACTGTCAGCATAATACAACATAATACATATCACAAGCAGTATGGTGCTTGTTACTAACAATTCAACCCTAACAAGCCACTCCTTCAGAGGGGTTTATTCTCAGTTTAAATATGCACAGGAATGAAACCATGCAGCTCAAGCTTATGACGGTTCTTTCAGACATGAATGCACTGTGTGCGTGATTCGGAGTGTTACTTTGAAATGTAGGAACTACAACTATTCAACTCACAAATCACAACACTCAAAAATTATGTGTTGGCAAATTTTAGATTCTCTGATAAAACATATAGAATACAGCCCTAAACCACCAGCAATATTGACATACAATCCTCCCATTTGGACCAAGCATGAAGTAGCAATTACACTTTTGTACAGTACTTAGCACTGCAGATGAGGGGCTACCTTTGCATCACTGGATGGAAATGAGCACCAGGGTGGTGTGATTTTATAGACCTTCAGGTGATTTACATTCTAGTCCCATACCGCCATGAAAGTTGGTGGGTGACCCTAAGCCAGCCACTCTCTTTCAGCCTGACTGACCTCACTATGCCGTTGAGAAGCGGAATCAAAGAGGAAAAAAGGGACATGCAACACTTTACCTTGAGCTCACTAGAGTACAATTTAAATGTAGCTAATTAATTAATTAAAGCTACCTCTTATTCTGAAGTAACAGTCATTGATAGTCACCAGCTATGGAAAGGAAGCCAGACAAATTGACAGATGAGGCTAGCAGGACATTTTACAGCAATGACTGCCTTCCACAGCTTAACTATGCAGTACTTAAACAAGTAGGTCCTGGGAGCTCCCTTGACCTCAGCAACCGAAGTAGCTGCAGCTATACTACTTATAAATACATAGATGGGCACTCAGTACCGGAACGGTTATTCCTCCTACGGCAGACACCCAATTTTAGACCCCACGTTGTCATAGATAAAGAAAGAAAGAAGGTCAGCATGTGCTTCCGCAAGCAAAAGTGGGATGTAAGGAATAAAGTGATGACGTGGTTGGATGGAAGGCCACTCCAGAGATCCCCAGATGGTGCCAGGGACGCATCCTGCCTGAAACCCTTGGAAAGCTGCTGGCGGACAGAACCGACAACGCTAGGCTAGAAGGAGCAAGGAAGGATGTGAGTCTCTCCAGAAGGGACACTGGTACCACTATGAGGAGGAGGGTGGCGGCGGCGGCGGCCGCAGGAGCGACCACGAAAGGAAAGGCGGCACAAAATGACGCCCCAGCCACCTAGCCCGGCCTGCCAAACCCCACCCGGCAGCGGGGGGGGGGTCCCACCAAGGGCCCCAACCCGGCTGACAGAAACGCCCAGCGGCAGCGGCAGGTAAGCGAGACCGGGGCCGCCTCAAGGGCTGCCCAGGCGGGGAGGGACGGGACGGGACGGGACGGACCTGCCGCCAAGCGAGAAACGCCTCCCACAAGTAGACGGCCCAGGAGAAGAGCAGCACCGAGCAGAAGATGCGGTTCTCCAGGGGCGCTTCGGCCCAGAGATCGCCCAGCAGCAGGGTCGCCATGGTCACCGCCGGCTCCGGGTCACCAGCACGCCGCCTCCTTCTCCTCCACCTCCCGCGCGGCCTGCTTCCGCCTAGGGCGACACCGGCAGAGCCTTACTTCCGGCGGAAGCAGCTTTCCCTTTGCCTCCCTTCTCAGTCCGCATCGTTCACAGCAGAGAGTTCCGGTTCCCAAACGACCACCACCACCTGGCGGGCTCCGTCCTCAACCCCCACCGCCGCCACAAATCTGTAATTCATGGCAAGCTTTGCCAGGAAGTGAGGGGCAGGTTGAGAGAACGTTTCCTTGCTTTGGTTCAGCCTTTCACCCTGAAAAAAGCTAGTCAAGGCCGGCCTCGCTGCCCTTGGGTATCTCATGCCAGAAATGGGAGCGGGAAGATTTTCCCCGCTGGACTGTCTGCTTTTTGTCCAGTTTAAAAGAGATAGGAAGATAATTTACTTTTAATTTAATATACTAAAAAAATTTTTACCCTACCTTTCTCTTTTTTTAAAAAAAGACCCAAGACAGCTGACAGCATTAAGACACTATTTAAAAGCTTAAAACAGAAAGTATGCAGATATTTTAAAATAATTTAAATATTATACTATTGAAAACAGTAAATAAAATCAATAGTAAAAACACTTTTAAAAGCAACAAGGCGCAGCATTCCTTTTAAAAAATCCCACTCAGGCAAAGCTTGCCTGAAGAGAAAGGTATTTCGCCTGCTTGAGGAAGGCGAGCAAAGCCTGGCCTTCAATGGGAGGGAGCGCCAAGGTCTGGGTGCAAGGACAGAGAATAATATGATAAGTGGATGTCCAAGACACCTTTTCTTTTAAAAGATTTTTAAAGCAAATCTATGCAACGTTTAATTCTCTGATTTCCAGCTGAGTAGCTGCCGTGTGCACCAAAAGCAACGGGCACCTAGTCTGGAGAGTTATTTAATCGAATTTTTATCACCACAGGAGTACAGTATAGTGATTCCCCACCCCTTTATCTAACA